CACACACACACACACACACACACACACACACACACACACACACACACTTTCCTCTGTCTATATCTGCAGACAGGTTTCTTGTAGGCCCCCTTCCCTCCTTTTTTTTGTCTTCCTCATGTCGTATTCCTCCTTTGTGTCCCCTGTTTCTCCAAGTGACGTCTTCCGCTGTCTCCCACAGCAACGCCATGGTGATGAGCTGGCCACTGTCATGTCCGGCGCCTCTGTTACGCTCATCCCTTCACCCCTCTCTCGTAAATAACTTGCCCTCTTTTTTTTTTTATCTTTATCTTTCCCCCATTTTGTGGACATTTTATCATGCTGAAATGGCCCAGTGCTGATTGACTGTAGCCAGGTTGCAGAGCCTAAATAGATGCTTGTTAAAGCTTCAGCATGACATAGAGATGACTTGTATTCCCTCTGTTGTGGTGGGAGGCGGCAGCAGACTTTGGGACACTCCGCTGTGAGGTGGGGCAACTCTAAACGGACCTGATGTTTACCACGGGATGGATGCTGGGCCTCATGGTGACTCTGGACTTCACCAGCATTTCCGCCCACGGTCATTGTGAGACAGAAATGTGACCCGCGACCTTTTAGTCTCCCCGTCCTTTGCGTTGCTACTTCTCTGCACTTGAGGGCAACCTGCCTCGGCAGTGTGAGCGCAGACGAAATTATGGTAGCAGGCAGAAACACGACTGCTGTGCATGAGCACGCTCGCGTTCCTCAGGCATTTCTGCCAACAAAGAGCTGAACGCACTGCTGTGCATGAGTGTGTGCGTGTGGAGCGTGTGCATGAATATTATGGGATGGCAGGCGGTGGTGTTGTCAGGCAGGGAAGTGGGGGTGGCAGAGTGGGCGGTGAGCTGTGTGCACATGGGGGGGAGGGGGCAGAGGGAATGGACGACCCATGAATATTATGGGATAATGGTGGTGGTGGTGGTGGTGGTGGGGGGGGGGGGGGTGTATGAGGTGGAAAGATGGCAGTACATATGGGATATGGAGGGAGTAGGAGGAGGTGTGTTGGTGACGGCATTGCACGTGAGTGCATGTGCACGCGCACACATGCGCATGTAGGGGGCATTCAAGCGATAGTAACAGACAACGGCCAGACATAGGCCTTTGTTGCTATGCAATCTGCATGTACCGTATAGTGGGGAATATTGCAGAGCGGCCATAGTTGTAGAGGAAACAGTGGAAGGCCTCTGGGCTCACGTTAGGACGGGTTCCTGCCCTATTCTCTTTCCATATCTACTGAACCCAACATGCAGAAAACACCATCTCTGATACAACAGAAATATTTGCTACTATGAACCAAAAGAGAACAAAATGAACGCACTTTGTTCGTTCTCCATGAATGCATTTCTGGCCTTCAGGCAGCACGGCACAGACCTACAAGTCAAATGGTAATAGATGTTGAACTGGGAGGAAATTGATCATATTGTTCCTACTTTAAACTATACAATCATCTGAAAAGAAAGCTCATGTGCATCTTTAAAAGCTAAGATATCCATTTAAAATGTATAGTAAACGTAATTAAGATAATATGTGTTGTTACGGTATAGTAATCCATGGCTCCCGGTCTCAGTGGTAAGTTGTCTACTTTAACTTTAAAAAGAAGCAGCCTGCCAGTGGGTCAGTAAACTCTTGATGTGCAGCCAAACAGCACAACTTTATTTCAAATTCGATAAGAGATCCCAAACTTTCTTCACAAATTGAATATTTCATGCAGAATTTTGTAAGTGTAAGTGTTTATCAGAGGATGCACAAGACATCTAACTGAAACCGTGGTGCAGCCATTTAACCGCATGGAGCCTTAGGTTTAGATTTTTCATATTAAGTTCATAAAGCTTCAATAAAGAGCTGGAACTGGACGACACGTAATATATTGTATGATACTCACAGACAGGGAGAACATATATCTAACTTACAGAAAAAAAATACTTCAAAGAGGTATAAGTGACTGAATGCCCCTCACAGTGTATCAGTACGTCTCTATGCAGCTTAGACTCTTGCGTTGTCTTTAAGTGCTTCTTCTGAGCCCTGATTTGAGTTCAAAACTTTTCAAATAGGACTTGTTGAACATTCAAGTGATTTCCCTTTAAAACACCGGTGAGGACAAAGCAGACCCTGCAAAGCCTAAAGGATTGTTTGATGGCAATTTGTATTTAGTTATTTATATTTTAGAAATCCAGCAGCACCGAGCCACATCAAACCTTTGACCGGCTTATTGCTTGGATGGGTCTGAGTTGTGTAGTAGCTCAGGTCTTATTTATGAATGTTTTTTTATGAATGAAAACGCCTTCAGGTGCTTCCCCTGCGCTCTTATTTGGACTTGTTGCACATTCGTGTGCTTTTACTTTGAAATATAAAACAAAACAGATCCTGCTGAGCCAAAATGATCATATAGCGTCCACTTTTATTTATTGCTTTTAAAGATTTTACAAAGTAAGCAGCATAAAGCTACAATGTGCTGCAGCACCAGAACAAAGCGGAGAAAAGTGCAGCCAGAGCAGGCTGGTAATTGATGTTTTGGTGAATTTATTTAAACATTTTTCTTTTTCACTGCATAATTGCCATCTGTAGTTGACGGTGTGTGCCTTGAATTGCATGTCTTCGTAATCCTAGTACCATAAAATAAAAAACTACCTTTCACATTCATATTTACAGATTTGATGTGTCCCTGATGTCCAGCAACTTAAATTGTATTTACTACTTTACAAACTGAACTTGAAGGCAACATTGTGTGAATCAACCTACTCACCTTTGGCCTGCATCCCACCACAGCAGACCAAGATACAGGCATGATGTCCGTCCCCCTTGTGGACTTGCACACCTGTTGGCCTATGTTGCCCTTGAAGTACTTTTCCATACATTGACAGTGAGATCACCTTCTTTTTTGGTCACTGAAACAGATGTGGTGCAGCGTAGCAGCGACTGCGCTGTGACAGGAGGCCTCGGCCTGCTGAGCAGCAGAGTTGGCACCATTAAAGTATTTGACACACATCCAGTTCTGTTACCCCAGCAGGCCTGCTCGACCTGCACACAGCACTGCAGGCATGCGGTCTACCTGTGTTTGGATCACCTGAACAATAAGTGACGGCTCTCTGACTCCTTGGTAGGCTCACTCCCACATGAAGTGAGTATTATGGTCTGTCACCAGTGGACTTGGGTTCCCCCTGGAGACCATGTGACTGGTGTTTTTTTCTTCTTCTTCTTTCTTGTCTTTTTAGCAGTTGTATATTATGGGATGTATTGCTGGTACTGCTGGAGTATTATGGTCTGTGGGGGGGGGGGGGGGGGGGGGGGGGCGACTCTGCTGCGCAGCAGGGCGGGGCCTCCTGTGACAGCG